GTGCCGTTGTTTAGCTATAAAAAATGATTTCCTGATTCTTTAACAAACCTGATGTTGCATAACATATTACGGTGCAGCGTAGCTCCAAAATGAACTGAAATGGTAAAAATGTTTTACCAAAGAGAGAAAAAGAAAGCAGCAAATGATGGAGAGGTGAACAGTGCAGAATTACACTGCATAAACTGTGTCTGAAAATTGTGAGTGTGAAAAGTTTGTTAATATTCCAATAAACTAATGTTAACATAAATACATTTAACTGTTTTTCAAACTCTTGCCAATAAATGTTTAATGTTTGAGCAGTTGGGAATTATTCTGTTTCTACTCAATACTTCACAATACTAATACTTCACAACATCATAATTCATAATTAATCTGGAAAGTAAACAGCTGGATTTGAGGTAGGCACACACATTATTAAAATATATGTACTTTGAATGTAAATAAGGTGGCACAGGGCATAAAAAAGCGTCAGAATAGAGCTTGTTTATGAAAGAAATTGCTGGGGGAGTATCCCCCTGGATCCCCCTACAGAGGTACGGGCTAAACCTCGAATGTCCTCAAATCCTAGAAACGCTCCTGGGCAAAGCCGACTACTGTTCATGTCTGCAGAGAGGTTAAACTTGTCCGTACCTTCGCTTAACAACCTGGTTAAATTGGTTTACTTAGTTTCCAAACTGCAATTAAAGGCTCATTCTTGAGTGAAACTTTATGTCTAAACTGTAATTTTATGGAGGTTAGGATAGATATTTCTTGTGTCTGACACTGCTTACCTCTGATACCTTTACAGGAAGTCAGTTGCGCTAACAAGAAAATGTGAATTATTTTAAAGCTAAGCAATGTTTCAATGTACAATACACACAGAAAGAAGGGGTGGCTGTACTATTGCATCAGTGGTGGAAGCACAGCTAAAACAACTGTGACAACGATTGTTAAACTCTGACCATCATTTTGAATCCTGAGTAACACCCCAAATTGCCTGCTCTTTAGTCCAAAAACATGATTATCTGTCTGAAAGTACAAACAATATTTATTTGGAAAATCTTACTGTGTACTTACTCAAAGTCAAATTAGGTGTGCATCTTGGACTTGTATAAAATGTGTTCAGATGGGTGTGATGCAAACATGACAACCACATAGATCAATTTGCACTTGAGAGCCTCATTCAGCAGGGTACATTTCTGCCGTGTACCTGAGACAGACTATCTAATTGGAGCCGAACGAGCAACTATAAAATCCTGGATCACAGTGAGAAGGCTAGACTGCTTTTTAGCTTCTAATGTTTAAGACTGAGGTGTTCCATGCTCTTTGGATAATGAGTCCTCTGGTAATCATGTACAAAAATAGCACATTTAAAATTTCTACTGCACCTAATGCATTCTGGCTCTGTTGCTTTTACCATAGGGTGTAGATAAGAAAAGGAAAAAGAGGAAAGAGGTTTTATAATACAATAATATTCTGTCTGCACACAACTATTATTATTACAGTCGGTCAAAGTTGGAGCAGGAAGTCTGTCTGTGAACTGTGATGAACAGGCAGTTTAAGCAATATTTTTAAAGTTCACCTTTGTTTTTTCTTCTAAATAAGTTTGGCGATGGGGTCTGTTTACAACCTGTCTGAACATCTGACTGCTCATGTGTCTTACCCCGTCTGACTTCTTTGTTGATATTACCAGGTTCCCAAATCTCAGCAGTTAGCCTGAAAATAAGACCCTGAAAAACTGTAATTTTCCAATAACATTACACATGTGCGAACAGGACCTCACCTTCGGTCAGGCAGAATGGGAACCCTCCAGCCTTTGATGAAGCTGAGATTGTTGTCAGACAGTTCCACCTGCAAGGGAAGTTTGGGCACCCAAACGGTCAGCTCCAGCGGTGCGCTCAGGTGCTCGTAGCTGAAGATGACCCTTGCGTTCATGGATCCCCGCGTCTCCTTCCCATTGACAAACACGTAGTCGCAATTCATGGACACCTAGGACAGATCAGGGTCAGAAGTCAGACCATCTATATGGTAATGGTCACGTCGGTGGCAGAGGATCTAAGTGATATGTGATGATATACTGCACTATATGGATACAGCTGTCAGCGCTACAATTCATCACAGAGCGTTTCAAGGTTGATACTGTCAGCAGAGCAAATACACAACAAGGATCTCTTAGGTATGTGAATGTGATGTGAAAGTTCAGGGCACATAAAGCATCGCTGCCAATTTGTAGTGGAGCAAGTAGGGGGGGCAGAGGTTGCGGCTGCCCCAGGCCCTCAGCAAAATCCATGAAGATCACCATGTCTGCTCGGTTATTGTAGTAACACGCTTGTAGGTTTGTTAGTGGTTGTGATTATGTGGCTTGATTTTGTAGGCATCCAACATCACAGAATGACAATCTGTGTATTTATTTGCCTCCTATCCTTGGTTGCCTGCTCTGCTAGTTTATCTGACTGAGGTTCCAGCACTATTGAGTATTATTATTAGAGAAGACTATGTTCGCCCTGCGTTTGCGTGGGTTTTCTCTGGGTGTCTGCTTTCCCCCGGCATTAACAACATGTACTGAATGTTAATGTACGTTAATTCCCGAGTCAGTGCCCTTGACCAAGGCGCTGGCTTAGGTCTGGAGGTGGTCCTCAGGCTGCATGGTGGCTGCTCACTGCTAACTTACGATGGGTCAAATGCAGAGAACAAATTTCCCTATGGGGATCAATAAATGATAAGTTAACTTAATGGCACCGACCATGATTCTAAAATAGCCTATCAGCAGTTGTGCTGCCTAAATATCAGCAGGTCGCTGTTTAATAATAAATCAATGGCACTGCCTATGGTGCTGAAATAGCACAGTTCATTGGAAGCTGCATTTCTCTCTGTTCTGCCCTTCAGTCTCCTCAAGTTTCCCCATGGATCTGTCTTGTGGGCCTACTACAGATCCTTGCCCCCTCCACAATGAGCCATCGGCTCCGTGCCTGCTACCAATGCTTTCATATTGTGTTTAAAGAATCCATTCCACCAAATTTAAAAAACAAACAAACCCTCTAGAGGTATCACTAGTTCACCTGCCAGGTTTTGAGATATCTGTCTCTGAAATATAAAAAATAACTTCTCTTAACAGAAACAATATTTTGCTTAATCAGGTTTCTGATACATCCTAAAACCCACACACTTAAAACCAAAACTATCTCCTTGACACCATTAGGAATTAACAAGAAAATGCTGTGTATTTTGTTTGGAATTTGGTTGAAACAACTCTTAAATGAGGCTGTATGTTAATATTTATCACACTGTGGACCGTATGCCACCAAGAGTCATAGAGTCTTCATTCCACCCGCAGACTCGCTGGCCTTGATGGCACAGTGCTGAGAACCACTGCTGTAAACAATGCTTACTGGCTATGGGCTGTTCTCTAATCTAATTTGCATCTTTTATGCAGTCAAATTAGTGCTTCTAAGTAACCCAGTGTTTGTTAAGCATGTACAGTGCAAATTAGGCATGCAGACCACGTCCTAACCCCACCACCTCTCTTGCCCATTCTCAGCATAATGATTTAGACAGACACATAATAATATGGCAACAAAAGCTTTTAGGCAAACACATAATTCATATCATATGAAGGCTGGCAGCAGTGCGACATTTCATATGAACTTTAGTTGATAACATCTACATGGCACATTAATAAACATATTCACCTTTCACGAGACATTCATGTAATGTGATATAATTTCTGACACAGCAATGACACAGAGTATGGACACAATATATGGAAATTTCTAAATTTAAGTCTTAGCAAATGCCATTTTTAACTTTAAACCATTCTTTAGCTTTCCCATCTAGTCAAAAAGCTCCAGCTCAATTTGAATTATCATAAATACTTGTCCCCCTCTAACACTAAATTATTAACTGCAATGGATCTGGAGGGCTTTGCTTTTGGGCTCCCATCGAAGATTTATCTAGTGGTGGGAGGTAGCTGGCATTGTAATCAGAGGATCTAATCTCCCGCAAATGGAGGTCGGGCTGGCCAGTCTTCTCAGGGCTGGGGATTCATCATAACTGGGAGGAGGTCTGGGTAATATAATTCCCCCTCCATACAGACAGGCCAGAGGGGGGGTGGGTGGTGGAAGGACTTCTTAAGATGACAGTCTTTCCCTCTGGTTCAGTTAATGCAATTTTGCAGGGTTTGACCTTATGTGCAACCACAGTATCCAGCTTTTGTGTGTTATTGCTCCATCTGCTCATGTGCAGTCTTATCTGTATGAAGCGAGTTACAAATGAAAAAGAAGTAACTCAACACAATGACCCCAGCCACCTTGATTAATCACAGCAAAGCTTGTTGTATAAGAGTGAGTCGAGAACATCTGCCTGACATGTATTCCCTTCAACCCTAAGGCCCACACTCGCACGCACATACACACACACACAGAAAACGAGCCCTAGCTGCAGTGCCGCTTCAGCTCCTGCGGCTATTGCTGCTGATAAACTTGGCCGGCTAATTGCAAGTCAAAAGCTGTTAGCAACTCTGGGTATCAGTGGCCCTGTGGGGGCTTGCTGAGGAGGGCTTTCACACACTGAGCCGCCACATGCCGTCACACTGCTGCTAATGTGCTGTGGCATCTTCCATGGTGCCAGCAGATTGCCTGGGTGGAGACAGATCATCAGGACAAGTGCTGCCTGCATTCGGTCGTGTACCGGTCACATGATGCAGAGTGAAAGACTGGCTAGGTTAATAAAGGTGAGGACACCTAAGGACCTTTCACACATTTATTCCATAACATTAACTGAATTAATTTCCCAAATGGTTCTAGTAAAGGCAGCAGCTTCTGTCCTTCAAGCAAGCAATGCTTTAATGGCATTCTAATATGATGTGACCATTCACAATGTGCAACTAATACGCAAAATCTCTGTCCATCCACATCCTGTGCCAATAGCAGTTAAACACATTAGTCAAATAATACAATTTGGAACTTAAGCCATTATTTTTTTTCATCTTGAGCAATTGGACTGCTAAGGCAGGTTCAATATTTTCACATGGCTCCTTAAGTATACCCCTTCAGCAATTTAGCACTAAAATTCCATTAAGTTAAGGGACTTAAAAAAGACCAATTACAAAAATAATGGTAAAAATCGATGCAGCCGAGGCAGAGATATCCTGACTTTTAGTCCTTAGTATGAATAAAGATCTAAAAACAATGCATCCTACACTTCCCATAATGCAACTCCACAGCATATTTTGATAGACCCTTCCAGCCTGATAAAACTTTATTCATTTAGAGTTGTGTTTCTGGCCACCTGGTGAATATAAGTCTAAGTCAATACTCTCTCTTTTGGCTCTGTTTGAGAGACATGTTTACTGATTATGAGGGTGGAAAATAAGACTGTAATTCATAATTCACACTTTCATTAATAAACCAGTATTCTGTCTGAATAAAATAAGCAGAAAATCAACAAGGAATTAGTGATGTGAGCAAGAATGTGTCATTACAATGACACAATAACAATCTCATGTCCCATTTTAATGACTTTTCCGGCTTTTGTGGGGAGTTATTATGTGCTGTAGGTGGTTGATAGACAACTTCAGATGCGCTGACAGCACCGTATATATATATATATATATATTATTTTAGAGAGAGTATGTTGGACATGTTGCTTTTATTTGACAGCTGCAAAGATCAAGAGAGGAAGGGGATGACACGCAATATACTGGACTGGAACCCCAGTTGCCACGGTTACATGGTATGTGTTGCAGATGTACAAGCTGACAAAAAATACAATAAAGGTGTCTACAAAAATGACAAAAAGAACAAAACCAGATGCAGACAAGCATTCAAACTATTTTCCATGTTGGAATTGCAGTTATCCCAGAGGTGGTCAGAAATGAATGCTCAGCTGGGCTGCTTAAAACCTGCTTTTGTTTTAGTGTTGTTCCTACACTCTGAGCCCCTTTACAGGACCAGTCTAGGATTTAGTGGCATCGAACAGGGAGATTGCAGATTGCAACTAACTGAATACTCCTCTACTCATCCCTCCCTTTCCACGCATGTAGGACAACCCACGGTGGCCTTTAGGGCTAGTGTAGAAATGTAGCGATGCAATATGGCAGGCTCTGTAGAAGAGGACATGCTCCCACTGTTAATATAAATAAAAAAAAAACACAATGATTGTGAGTTTCAGGCAATTATAAACGCATGAAAGCATACTTATGAATATTATGTTCCATTTCTGCCAGTAAATCACTCTAAATCCTTCCTACACACTAGTCCTTGTGTGTGTATCAAACAGACTACGAGAAGTCAAGTGATTTCTCGCCCACGTTTCAATGTCAAACACACATAACAAAGAATAAATCAGTCGCAGAGAAAAAATGAGCCATCTTGGCATGACATTGCAAGGCATGTGCCTCAAAACAGAAACCACAATTATCTCAGATTTTCTTTTCAAATTTAAATATTCACTAAATTAATTGCCACAACATTCTGCCAAGTGGAGTTTCCAGTTAGGGATAACGTATGTATTAAATGAACACTGAATGAAAGCTGACATATGGCTAGCATTACTGGGATTGTGTCTTGGAGCTGTTGTGAAGCTTTTCTTCATGTGATGGATGTGTGCTGGCTTCAAGAGCAGTGCAACCAATGAGTTCATTTAGCTCTGTTAGCTAAATGAGCCAGCCCCCATTAGCCTGTTGTTGGTAGGATTAATGATGTTGAGTGTGAGAGTGATCTGTTGTTCTGGAAAGCTGGGACTGAGCCTCTTGGAAACAGAAAAAAAAAATCCTCATATTATTATTTATTTCATATTTCAAAGCAGTAATTTGTATACTTTAAAGGGTTGAATAGAATATTATAGAATTTGGTTTCCATATCCAACAACTAATATGCTGCTATAAAAACCGCTGCTCTCGTGGAAATGCTTTTGAGGTGAGGCCCAACTCTGATGTTGGCCGATAAGGCCTGGCTTGCTGTCACTGTTCCAATTCATCCAACAGGCTTTGAACAGGGTTAAGGTTGGGGATCTGTGCCCGCCAGTCAAGTTCTTCCATATCAAACTGGGAAAACTGTTTCTTTAAAGACCTGGCTTTGTACATGGGAGCTTTGTAGTGCTGAAATAGAAAAAGGCTTTCCACAAAATGTGCCACAAAGTTAGAAGCACTCTATTATCAAAAAATATCATTGTATGTTAATGGAAACTAAGTGGCCAAGCCCAAACCATGAATAACAACCCCAGACCAAAATGTGGGCGTGTCAGCATACGTTTGGAAATATAATGAATCTGAATGGCTAGATTTTACCAGGTAAGTGAGAACGTTTTTTCGCTAATTGGGTAAACTGACTCTTTAAAATTAGGATTGTACATATTTACTACAAGAAATTAATCTCATCAAGTTCTAGATGTCACCTGACATCCTTGCATCCCCTGCACAATTGTTGCTGCAACTTCAAGCTAAAAATTAAAAGCACTTCCATCCTGAGCTGCAGGGATGTTTAAGCACACAGCAAAACAAGAGCTGTCCCTGCTGTTATTAGCTCATTTCTGGTCTATTAAATGCTAAATTTATTGGTGCGCTAAAGGTAAATGTGTCATACTAATATGAAAGTGTTGCAATGACCAGTAGCCTTCAGTCAGATACAACATGCGTGCAGGATGACCACAGGCATGAGATGTGATGTGCAGACGCAAGGCCTTATCTCTGTCTTCAGTTGGATTATATGATTCACAGTGCCAGGGCAGAGGATGATCAGCTGGGGGATGGGGGTTGGTCTCTGTTGCTTATGATGGCCGGCAAGTCCCCCCAACCCCCCTGACACACTCTCACAGCTTGTTTTTTATCCTTTCCCGCCTTGTACAACTAGGGTGCCTTAATAATTTCTCCTGCACATGCACACACACACACAGCTACAACTGTGCACACACAGGATTGGCTTATCTGCTATAGGCTCTTGATGCACACTGCAGCTTAGTTATTTCCGAAGAAGAAAGAACTCAAGAAATAAATAAAAGTTCCAGTAAAGAAAAATGACAGCCTCTCACCTATTTTTACTCTGAAAGTTGGGGGAAAAAATGCAACCGCCTGTGGGTTGGCAAACATCTAAATGAGAAGAGCGCTGAGCTGAAAATAAAGCTTTATTCAGGGAAGAAGTCTTGAAAATAATTTTAGTTTAAATGCTGTTTGAGTTGCAGTCTCAAGTCACGAGGCCAGCTGGAGATCTGACAGGGTACTGGAAGGCTTTGTAGTGTATGTATTTTGCACCACTCATGAATGAATGAGAAAAAAACCAACCAGCTTGCCATAACTAAAACAAGACAATGTGATTAGAATAGATTGCCGTGACTTTTGGCATGACAGTAATGTATGTGGTATAAAAAAAACCCCCCAACAGTGAGTTGGAAGTAATGGAGTGTTCCTCCTTTGTCGGGCTCTCCGTGAATCTTTTATTTCTGTATTCGGGGGGACGTTTTATTGAACTGTCATGACTCGTGTATTTCCTGGGCCTGAAGGGCTCATTTTAAATTAGCCTCGAATGTTCAATGGCAGGGGCACTGAAGCAAGCCCACTCAATATCACATGGCCCAGCGCCTTGTCTTTAATGGATAATGAAAAATGATAAACGACGTGCTGAGGCCAGCCACCCCAATGCAACACCTGTTCTTCTCTATTGACAGTAGAATGCAATACACCACAACTGGAGCCCCTCCCGCCTTTAAGAAACACGTCTACACAGGAAACTCACTGATCTTGAACCCTGCTATGAGTTAAACTACAGTTTAATTTGTTCTCCTTCAGGTATCAGAATTGCATGGCAGTAAACATAAGGGCTAGTCCAGTATATCAGAGTGAAAATATATTGGACAGATACTGCTCTTTAATAAGAACAGATACTGGCCAGTCTCAAATGATATGATTGAAGTCGGTATCTGATTCGGCTTTATGGCTTCCTGGCCTCAGTCTGTAAAATCTACAATCAAACCTGCCTCACCTGACCTTGAGGCGCAGGTAACCCACCAAAAAGGATTTCATTAGTCTGACTTGATATGATAGTTTTATTATTCAATGAACAAAAGGCTTCTCGACACAGACTGAGTTCAGTATTAAGCATAAAGATTTCTGTTATTGGAAGACAATTCACAAACCTGAGAAGTTGATCATACTGCGAGTCACATCTCATGCCTTATGGCTGTTTCCCACTGTGTGTGTGTATGTATTCACATGCAGCCGTTACTCGTATTTACAGTTTTCCAATAGGAAGCTTTACATGAGGAGGATATTGAGTCGGAGAAATACGATTTTGAGAAATACTGCTACCTTTGGCCAGATACCCTGGTTAAATCCATCTTTATCCAGGGAGGTAGGTTAAAACACCCTGTGGTGAGATTGCTTACACTTTGAGACACCTTGCCACTGGCAGACTTTATTTGTTCACAAAATACTTGCTTGGACAGTCAACCTCCTGGTAATTAGAAAGTGAGTGTATGGCAGCAGAGAGAATGCACAATCAACATCCTCGTTCATCATGCTGCAATTTTCACCCTTCGTGCAACAAACGCTCGTCTCCAACACCGAATGAATGTTGAAAAAATGGGTGAAAGCGTGTTTGGAAGTATGTGACACACCTTGAGAATCTTATGGAGTTCTAAATCTCACAAACCAATCAAAGAACAAAAGGAAAAGGCTCAAACAAGTACATAATCTCAAATAAGTTACTAATTTTAGTTGTCATGCCTAAAAACTGTCCTTGAAATGAAATGCATTTTCAGTTTAGGTTTGATTACATTTCCTTCATGGGAAACATGGAACTGGACCACTGTTATGCACTCAGTGGTATTACTTGAGATGTGAACTCAACAAGGTGCTTTTCTGGGTACTTTTCTCCACACGTGCATTCTGCAAATCCTTTATTTTACATTTTCTGTTTTTATGTGATCCCTTTATTGTTGTAATGTTTTCTTGTAACCCATTTTAAGGTTATTATATTAGTATTATAGAAGTTGCAGGAGAGCAAACCTGAGAGGAGGAATGAGGCTCTCTGGACTGTTTTGTATATAATGATATACAGTACATGCTGTTTACTTCTTTTAGTGCCACATCTCCCCTTACACCAACACTTTTAATATGATCCACAGTTCTGCCTATACAATTATGCAATCTGCATATAGTGCAATCTATTATGATCATAATTGACTGGAGAAAATAATAAGTGCGTAATCACACCCTCTAATGTGCTCTGCAAGTTGTTGTGATCCCACTTTAATTTATTTAATCAACAAACGAGACTTGATATTGTACTCTCAGCTTGGATTCCCTGTGAGCGTGAGCAGTGATTGTCCCCTGCATCCTGGGACACCGGTGTTATATCTGCCTGCAGCCATCACACTTAAGTGAACAACATGGCTTTGCACTACAGCACATCAGGTAAGCAGAACTCTGTGAACAAGGTGTCTCTTTGACAAGCAGATGTGATGCTTCAAAAAGCATTTACTGGAGCTTTTACTGCTCCCTTGTAACCACATTGATTTATCTGTAGAGTTTTATGAACACCCATTGATTTTATCTGAGGCAGAAAGAAAGAATCAAATCACAGGTACATATCGAGCAGCCAAAAATGAAGAGTGTATGCTTTCCTGATGTTGTGACTGCGGTGCTGGGCCACTTCCCCGTATTAGTGAAAGAGTAAAGGGATTAAATTCTCTAAATGGACATCTTCTTCCAGATACAGAGATTGAGGGAATCATGTTTACTGTACCTTAACAATGTCTTCATTGGAGGACTTGCACTGCACAAAGGCTGAGACGTCAGTGACTGCTCCATTCATCTCTATGGAGACCATTTTGACAGGAATGGCCACAGTGCGTCCGGTCAGAATGGCCGTGTTGATAATCTCAGTGTCCTGAGGGAGGAAAAAGGTAGACATGATATTCATGCTGCAGTGAGAGGTAGAAAGTGGTTTTCCTTGATATTTCATCAGCATTACGGATGTCCATATTTAAAACCATTACCACCAGGGCTCCTGAGTCTCCCAGGTGATAGTCTCTGTGGCAGACCAGAACTCATTTTACTGAGACATCTTTCATTGGATTTCATCAACTGACATTTTCATTTCAAGTACTCTGTTCAACTAGTGAGCAAACGGAAGTAACTTAAATGGAGTTGAATAGGACAGAATTTCAAGAAACGTAATAGTCTTAACCTTAATCATTTTAAGAAAGACATGGTTTAATGGGGTCCTACTAAGTAAATCACAGCATCAAGCTTAAATTTCAACAAAAAAGACATGACATTTACTGTACCAATGGACAGGAACTGATGCAACTACTCATTGTATTACTTTAAGTGAGCACATATGACTTGGATGTCAGAAAAAATGAGTTTTGTCACAGCAGGAATCTCATTAGGGATGAGTTCCTCTTATCAAAGATGTTTCACTGAAGTGCACAATGACTCTGAAAAATGCAACAGGAAGTGATGCTGTCACCATAATGTGGAAGTGAAAAGTGTTAAGTTAATATAAAAAAAGTCTTTTTTCTCATGATTTCATCCATTTATAAAATTCCCTTTGCGTCGTGCATGCTCAGTGCACCTCCATTACCAATTTTTTGCTTATTACTCTGCTCAGGAAGCTGTATTATCATTTTAATGTGAATAATTTTGCCATGAGGGAATTTGAGAAAAAAAAGTATGGCATGAGTATGGTTTTAATTAGGGCCAAATAAGCACAGAGAACATGGAGAATTTCTCAGTTGTTCATATTAATGGCTCTCACTATAATAGCCTAACCGCTACTCAACAGTTTGGGGTTTGGTAATCCATTTATTCAGGAACTAATATATAAAGATACTCTTTAATGAGGAAAACCATGCATGAGAGAAAAGCCTTTAGTTTCTCCTTTTTTGATCATTTGTCTGGACCCGCACTTATGTATTCTACAATTTTGCTGGAGTTCATAGAAAGAATATTCGTTATATTGCTGCCCAGTGTTTTAATATAGTCTATAATATCAAAAGGGATCAAATGGGGATAAATCCAGCTAGCTGTACGCAATGATAAATATAAATTCTTGAATACTGCCAAACTAGCCTTAAACAAGTCCAACATTGTCATTCCATCTGCATTTTTATTTTGAGTCCACTGGAATGCAAACAGCCAATTAAAATACACACCAGGCTCTCAGTTGATGTTTGAATCAATTCATTATTATTTAGCAGATAGTGTAAGTTGTAAAAGGGTACCATGTTTTTCTCATTTGCAGTGGCCCAGGAGAAAGACTGAGACCATGTACATTTTCTGAAATCAGAAATAGTATATTTAAATTTCTGCCCAACACTCATCTTAAACTCTAAATAAGGGTGTAGAGCATGAAGGATGAGCCTTTTTTCGACCTCTAGTTTTTCATGGGTTCCCACTCAACTGCAAGGCCCAGCAATGTTTATTCATAGAGGGAATATAACACACAGATTTAGCATTGTTGTTCTGTCAAGGCATCTGTTATGTGTAGCCTTAAGCAAATAACTAAAGGGTCCTTAGGCATGACACTGAACTTTACAGTACCGAGAGTGACAAAACAGCAGGTGCAATATGTACAGAGGATCTAAATATACAACTTTTAATTTATTTCTTTTTGAGGGCCAACAAAAAGGAGTAAGAGTGAGCATAAAGCACAGAGCAACACATATACCAACAGAAACCCACAAGTGAAACAAAATCTATATTAATATAGTTGGTAATAACAGAGGCAATTACCAGTAGTGTAATCTACTATGGACTTCAACTGTTTTTAATTCAACTTGAGTTGCAAACTTCTTTAATTTCAGTTTCTTTCAGAGGCTATTCCAAATGGCTGAAGCACAAAACAGATAGCAGAACATCTTAAGGTATGAGATTGTGGCTGACACTCATACATTTCTTAAGTCACATAGGTAATTAATAAAAGGTAACACTTACAACATATTTCTTATTTTGTAACAGTGCCCACATTAACAGATTCCCCTCGACGGTTACCTGTTTTTGTGTACATTTTTAATTTGACACAAACACGAATTATGTGACTTAAACATCAACTGAAGCTTGTGGTCCACTGGAGTCATCTCATTGGGCCCTTTTCTTTTGCAATGGTTTAATGGCCCAATAACTGCTTTAGAGTAATTGATGAAAATGCATGTTAATTCACATTTTCCTCTGTGGATTTTCTGAAAAACTGCTAAATGTCTACAGGATTGTCATTTGCATTAACGACTAAGAAACATCTGCGTCCAACACAAGCTTGACTAGGAAAAGCAGAGACTGAAAAATAGCAAAGGTGGACTATAGTTTAATGCCTATATGTGATTCAAAAGTATATATATATATATATATATTCTCCTTACCAAGGAGAATTTCCACACAGGTTCACTCTTGAATAATTTATGTAAGCAGAAAAGAAAAGAAAACCCAGTATAGAACCTTGGGGAACTCCATTAATTAAGTACAGTAAGATAGCTGGAGCTGTACATTAACTATCATACATTGAGTGAAAAGCATTAATTAGTAAATTAATGCTTTGTCAGACATTCCTTTGTTAATTAACCTCTGCTTAGGCTTTACACAGATCAATAAAAAGGATGCAGAAGTCCACTGGTATAATCAATCACAGCTTTCACTGCAGCAGTAACAGCTCAAATTCCAGACCAATACTTTGAAAATAAAAACATGAAAACTCTTATACAGCTTGAAGACATAAATACTGAAGGAATTTCCTTAGTGTAGTAGAGTAGATTAATATTAAAAGTATATGTAGTGCAGCAGTGAAATGTGCAGCAACTCAAATAATAAGGATCAAAAAAAAAATTTACGGTTTTTCTGTATCTAGTTTTGATCAAGTTTCAAAAATCAATAATCAACATTTCTTCCCATTCAGAACAATGTCGATTATAACTCTAACGCATCACAGGCCCCATTCGTTGTTTCTGTATAATAAACTATATTTTGTGAAATATCAAACTGTGGTTGTTTTTTGTCAGTAGCAAATTAATTGACTGAACCTCATGATCAAACCTATCTAATTCTTTTATTTGTAATAATACAGCAAAATGTGTTATACCTAAATATGTTTTTGTTACTAAAGCTAGGCAGAACAGCTTTTTCTTTAGTTTATGAAACATGGCCAATTTATGGGAAGCAAAGCACAGCAGACCTCTGTGGATAATTGACTGGACTCTGGGGCGAAATCCTAATTGAAAGACATCATCCCTAAGCTCCCCTTGCTGTTTTGGCATCTGGTAAGTATTAAACTACACAAGACACTTTACAATTACATGTGTGCTGCTTTGGGAGCACTAATTATGCTTACCTGAATTCAGCTTGGAACAAAAATCAGTCATCACTGCACAGAGCTATCATTTCACTTAATTACTATGTTCTGTATGAAGCAGCAAAACAGTTATTAGATACCCTGTTTAATGGTAATAGAAAAATTTTGTAATTCCACTATCACAGTAAACTGAATTGGTTTATTTTGGCTTTATGTATTTTAACACTGCAGTACAAAATAAAGCACTTGACTATGAGAGATATGAGCCGGGCTCTCACCATCTCAAATCTGTTCTTTTTCATTTTACATACATTTTCTTAATTAATTTAATGAATCCAACAAGGATAATTTCTCATTAACACAACAGGAAAATGTTCCTTCTAAGATTCACACTCAGATGTTGTATTTGATCACACTTTTTTATGTTGATCAGTTACGAGTTAATGATACATAATATTTTTTTAAACCTTGAAATTTGAGCAGTGTTGTAATTTTTCTGGATTACTGTATTCATCTAATCAACATCAGTATGCTGCTGTATTGCAGTGGAAATGCATTAAATCAGTTTATTAGAAAAACAAATAATCCTCCTTTTTATTTAAGCTGTGTTTACAGATTGCTGATACTAATTTGCTTGTGGTTATTGTCATCCCATTAAATGTAATCCATTACTGTGGAGCCCGGTTGGAATTGCCCACAGGGTCTTCGTTTAACAAGCGCTGAGGCGAGGTTACTTAGCGTGTGAGACTTAAACGCTCTGTGTAACTTCTAGCATTTCCACATGCTTTTGAATAATGTAAACAATACATTTTCCCAGATGTGTATCTTCATGAATTCACAAATACATACGTGTACAAATGTAATGCGTGACTTCAAGCTGTGGGGTTGGTGCGACACAAAACATCATTTTTTATTTAACATCTGGTAGCCACCGTGGCACAGAGCAGCTAATGGGGTTGGGAATCTGGCATAACCCCACTTGCTCTGCATCATCCTTTGTGTTTTCTTGCTGCTTCAGCTCTCTCCTTTTAAAATAATAAGAACGTCCTGTGAAAGAGGGCTTTGGTGGCTTTGTGTTAATAGGGGCCTAAACTGTGTAATAAGCCTCAGGGTTGATTTAACCTTACCATTCTGGAATTGTTTTTCTTTTCACATTGTAAATTCACTGGTAGTTCCACTTTTCTCTTCCTCCTTCCTCCCCTTATCTGCAGCAGGTCAACTGTAGTTGGCACACAATCTGTGGTCTGCCAAGCATAAAAACCCTCGTCTTCATTCTCTTTACTGTCGCTTTACCGGCTCCTCTTTCTTCCTTGTCTCTTTCCGTCCTCACACGTTCCTCAGTCAAATGTTACTGTAGGGGTCAACCTTAGACCTTCATCTCTGTTGCTTTGTTCCACAAAATGCATTGTGTTTGTATTTTGGAGACAGAACCGCCTCCAACCTCTTTATATCAGCACTTTCTGAAAGTGCTGATGTGTTGTATGAGCTGTCAGTGGGTGTATGGCACCAGTTGAAAACTGCTCGTTGGTTTGCGTCTGCCGCTAACCCTAAAATGACTCTCCAGCAAAAGAAGTCAAAGGTCTAACTTCAGAGCCAGTATTTTGTTTCTCTTTTGTTTTTGATTTATTTTTGTTAGGTATTGCATCTTCTGTATTAAATACTTTGGTTCTTTGACCTGAGCAGCGCCTATATAGAAAGCCCTTCAGACACATTGTTTGATTTGATGAATATACCGTGGCCAATGTAACATTCTGATGTTATACAATACAACATCCCTTTTGTACTTCAGTGCTGTATTGTGTTGAAGGGCTAAGAGATAAGCAGCTGCTGCAGGGTCAAATCCATACTGGAAACTCACAGCAATTAATACTGCTCTTCCATTTAACAATCAATCATAGTCATTATATTATTCACTTCACACTAAAATAGCCTTGAGGGCTGTTCAAAGTCAAATATGTAGGAGAGGTAAAACATAACTACATATTGGTAACACTAAAGTCATTTTAAATTATAAAACCAAACCAAAATGAACCAGCAGGCGATAATCAAAAGGCACACACCAATATGAACAAAAAATAATTTTTCCAACCTGATCTTTTACACCCTGCATTGATATTTACCTTCCATTTGATATAACTCAATATGATTATAAGTTATAATTAAATTCACTTCTATGGTTTAAGTTTACAAGGGTCAGTGAAGTAATTTTTTAACTTTTTGATTGTAACAAATAGTCTTGTCACTACACACCATCCCATTAAGCTTCTCAACAACCTGCCATAATGATAAAGTTGGTCCATTCTGTTTGCTCTAATAAGACCACCTGTTTTCAGTTCATCAATCATGCATCATGGGTGTTACCATTGTTTACCTGTGTCACTTCTCCTGGTGGGGGAACTAGAACGTCCACATTTTGTTTTGATATAATTTACTATCCAATTAGTCACCACAACTGAAATGATAGATTAAATCTCATCGTTCAAGGCGACCACAGGTGACCTAGCAGGACTCCGATTTGAAAATCAATAAATGAGTAAAGTAAAGTTTTTACAATTTCCAAATTCCTCTCCCCAACCAGCATCCCTTTCACTGTGCCTTTGACAACTTAGAGAGAGTAATTAGAGTTTGAGTTGATGTTTTGAGATGGTCTCCAATTTGGTTTTGAAGTGAATTGTGACTATATCATTGAACAATGTCAGCCATACTTGACAGACTAATTGGAAGCAGTCAGAGGATTCCCAGGGTGTGAAAACTTTCTGAATTGATCAAGCCTGACTGGGCTTACTGTGTTACAGATAATTTTCCCTTCTTTCCATTTCAAAACAAATGTGGCCAAGTCTTCTTTTTACAGTGACAAGGAAGACTACTGATGTCCTTGAAATTCCCTTTCAACTAAAGTTATTGCAGAGGATGACAATACCAATCACCTTCTACTGTTCCATCTAGTACTAACGCGAGTCCTGTGTTTGGAACAGCAGGTAAAAAGCATTAAAATTATTCAGCAACATAACCACATACCCATACAGTAGATCTAACTACCAAGCAACATAGACTGCAGAGGTTGCAGGCAGCTACGGAAAAAGCACAGATAGTTCCTGCCTTGTAAATTTTACAAGGGAAAGTCACACAGGCAGAAATCTAATTTTGCAACACAGCTAAACACATCTGGATACAAGATGCATGTGAATCCCAAATGTCAAGGGGACCAGAGATATGAAGTGAACCTTATGGTACAACAGATGTGCAGTACACAAAGTCATAAGTGCAGATCAAGTATATTTATTGGAGCTATAGGAGAAGAACAGGTGTAATTATGCTAATATAGAACAGGTAACCAAGACTCATTATTCTGCTAAGCTTCAAGCCTTATAGGTCTTTGGTATACGCAGAAATAAATATAATTTGTTTTGATATTGTAAGTAATATTTAATAATGTATTTTACGACCTATGTTAGACAACAATGTGCCACTGTGAATACATCATGGTTCTTGAAGAGAGAGAGAGAGAGCAGCAATGATAACCTTTACCCACCATAAACACTGCAAAGTGCTGTCCTCAGAAAAACCCTCTCATTCAACCAGTGCAAGACATTGTCTACACGCCACCTATGCACTTTTCTATATTATTTACATGCACGGTTACTTTTAATGAGCAAATATCATGTGGGTTTGGATTTTTTTCACTGGTTTCAGCCAAACAAGTGAGTGAAGTAACACCACAAGAGAAAGAAGTAGGCAGGAAAGGCATAGCCAGAGGTACTCGGAACCTCTTGCTTGATTAATTTCTCTTTGTTCCCATAATCTGTTTACTACCCTCACTAATTGCCACCTTTCACAAGGCAAAGGAGGAGAGCCACGATTAAAAGAGTAATAGACACTTAAGTGTCCTGGGATTGGTTGACTTTCTTAACAATCAGCTAGTCATTCCAGAGAGTGTAGGTGTTGATTAGATTTCTTTGTAATGACAATACACCTGTCTGTATTATGTCTGATGCTCTGTACATGATATTCACTTATATACTAGGGTAGGCTGCCATGAACAAAGACATTTAAAGCTAAAGTTATAGTGTACATAGAATAGTGACCCTCAGAGAAGTCCCGCTACTTTTGCCCCAGCACATATTAATGCTCTTACAGATCTCTGATTATGAGATTGTAGCACAGAAACAGTTGTGCAGTGCAGGTGTAATATGTAGGACAAGGCCCTCTTTCCTACTTAGTACTGCAACAATTTCCCTTTGGATAAATTAAGTAAGTATCTTATCTATCTTTTATCAAGGAACAAGACTTATAAGATCAGACCCACTGGCCTCCACAGCAAAACATGTCATTACGTATTCTGACAGCTCATTGATCATATATCTTATATTTTTAAAGCTTGTTAACGTAAGTGGAAAATGTCCTTTTAAAACAGGGCATTTCAGTTTTGATTCATTCATCAAAGCTTAACATGTTTAAAGATCTGAGATGGTCAAATATCTTTAAGTAATTATATTTAATCATTTTAAATAGTGTAAATGAATCTGAATTTAATGAAAATTCTATGTATGAATCTGGAGATGCATCCACTCACCATAGCCAGAGGGATGATGGCCTGAATATCCCGCTGCACTACAGTCAACTCCGTCACAACCTTCTCTGAATCTGGCGGCGGGTTCTGCCCCTTGTAGTCAATGTTCCAGTTGATCCTTCTGGTCACTGAGAGGCTGGTAAAGTTCTCCATCTCGAAGTCCAACTGCATCACCTCGACATTGCCCAACACATCCCTGCCAGAGCACAGAAGCACACACACAAAACAGAGCCAAAATTAAAAGCCAAATATCAGTTACAGTAATATAGTCATGAAAAACACAGCATGACAAAGAATTCTGGCAATGGAACTGTTTACTGAATAGTTTTTAATTATTAAACATGCCATTTAGTAAGCTGTCCACACACTGTTCTGCAGTTATTTTTAGTTTTCCTTAAGTGACCCTTGAGCTGGAAAAAATAAATATTCATTAAGGTTTTGTTTTGTGAATTTGTGAAGCACTGCAGCCAGAAGTAAATAGTTGTCAGATGATGTATATTAGTATTTGTTCTTTATTCAAGCTTATATTCTACATCTCCATTTCTGAAGGCCTGTCTTCTCGTGAAACATGAAATAAAAATACAAAGACAACATGTTATTATGTTTTTCATAAATTAACGTCATGGCTTCCTTGTCTTGTGTTCAAATGACAGGAGAGCTTTTTAAGAAGTTTTAAAGAACTTTTTACATAGTCTTAGTTGGTTTAATTATTTAGCATCCAATAAGCTGTACCGAGAAGATTTCAGAATTAAAGCCAGTATGCAGCTATTGGCTTCCAGTGGAGTGTAATCAATGTTATGCATTTAGCAAAGCTCACATAAGTTGTCAGACACAATGATTGATTGAAAGGCCCCTTTATAACATTTAATTCAGTCACCAGACCAAACAGCTCCTTCAGTCTGATTAGTAGATCTAATACTGACAGACAGAAACAAGGCAGTTAACATGGCGACAGGATCTTAAAGGTCACAGTGTGCTGTTTACAACCTTAAGCTTCACGACTGGACTTGAAATTTTACCGTGCTTTACCAACATAAATGTCATGGCTTGAAAGGACAGGCAACCAGAATGATAGTCAGGTTTTCATGTCAACACAAAAGCTGTAAAAATACAATCCACCATCACTATTAGTGGTTTTGGTTAATATAATTTTGTTGTCCAGCCATTATGATAAGCGGTTTGGGTTCATACCTTTCTTCATTTAATAAAGTCAAGGTGAAGAAGCTGAAACTCAGAATATGAATCATTCTCTCATGCTGCAATTTAATCCTTTAGAGCTATAATCCCTTTATAAACAGTTTCTTTGTCTGGTCACAAACCCTGAATCCAAAAGGATCTTTCTGTAAAACTAAAAGGATTTTTAGGCACCTGGATGAGCTCTACCTCAATCTAACTAATGATGCATTGATGCACCAAGCTAATCTTCTGAGATCTTCATCTCATTCTGCACAGCAGAGAACAAAGTTTGATCTAATTCCACCTGTATTGCAGAATTTGCTCATCACAATGAGCACATTCTCTGTAATGAACACATCTACAAATTGAGCAAGTTCATTCTTGCCCTAAAAATTGCAATTTGACAAGCTTGCTAGCTTTTTATCTAAGGTTTTCCATTAAAGGCTCCAGAAAAAAAGAAAAGGCAGCAAATGGACTTTTTATTTATCATGATATTTTCTTCTATTCTGTTAATCTGGAAAAATGTTCAGTTGAAAATGTCAGTTGTTTTCTTCTTCTTTTTCTTCCTTATATTTATGGTTACATTTATCATTTATAAGTCTTTTTCTCTCTTATTTATACTTTCTAAAATTATACTGTATGGATGTTGCAGTAATGTTCAATATACAGTGTAATAAGGAAAGATTTCCAAATGTCATTTTCTAACCTTTTTCTAATCTTTAGTACGATGTCTTATTCACTTAACCTGGATGGCAATGTGTGTGTGTTTTTGTCACTAGTTGAACTTATTTCTGCGGCCCTCCTCTGATTGGGTAATTGAGGTAGCTTCTATGTTTTGTAGGATCAAAACATCATAAATATTCCAGCAGTAAGCGAGAAAGTGTGCAGGAGTTTTCTCATTTTTTGTTCATGTTTTGGTTAAGGTTTGTGTAAGGCTTGGTTGAAACTCTGAATGTATTGACTTATTAAATATTTAACCAGAGCCACCATCTTTCCCGAACCTTAACCAAGGGTTTTATAAGCCAAACACGGGACTAGACTACTACTATATGTATGTACATAAAAATAATTTAATTTCATTGTACAACCTTGTTTTGTATAATAATAAATACATTTCCTTAAACCTTTGTAGGCCTGACCATTCAACACAGCCTTCTGTTTAGCATAATGTCACACTTTATGGTTTGGAAAACAGTTTTAAGTGAATGTATTGAATGTATTCCAGACAGCAATCACATTTCTCCCAAAAAGTATCTGGCAATGCTAACTAGTCGTGTATACAAATACATTTTGTAGGAAACTGAGTTGGACTGTCTTGCTGATGCAACAGCTTCACAAATGTATTGATTTGTGCTTGACTAATCTGACATTAGACTATTTCCCTATGCATGGTTCCATTTGTTACAAGAGACGCGTAAAACTGATAAGAAGTGACAGTTTTCTAATGGCATTTCTGCTTATTTAGATGGAGTTATCCTATGCTATGAATTAATCAGGGATTGTCTGAATCAAAACAGTGTGCAGGTCTTGTCAATAAACAATCACTGCTCTTTCTGGCCAGCTTTCTTCTTCTACCTTAAAGCCTAGAGCTTGTGCAAGGAGATTGCAATTTTGGTTCTGCCTCCAAATAACCATAATTGCAGTGGCTGCAGATTTGCTTCAGACCAATCAAAAGCTTTTGGTAGGTAACCAGATTGTTCTGATGGCCGTGCACATGGAATATTGGAGCATTTTGCTTCTCTGTGCAGTGTAAAAATACCAAAGACTTTGGTTGGGAACTCCATTTTACTATCGCAAACACGCAAGTGATGTAGGAGCGATAACAGCCCTCCTGTTATGAAAATCCTGCTTGTTGGGCTTGTAATCCTCAGGTTCAACAAGCCTAACATGAAACTGTCTCACTGGTGGTGAAGGGGCAAATTAAATCTCTCTCCACCCGTGACGAGAATCATCCCACCCAAACCTCACCTTTAGCTGAGAGTGAAGCGCTTGCTGTCAGTCCTTCACAAAAGCAAGACACCCATCCCGCCATTCAGCCTGAGAGCCTTTTAATGAAAGCTGGATCAAACCATGTGTATGAGCCTCCACCCACAAAAGGTTCCTCACATCGTGATGAGATCTCAGCCTATTTGTCTCGACATCACTCTCTGAAAACAAACACCCCCATCTGTCTGTGACACACTAAAGCTGTCATCAATATGGCTCACTGGAGTGAGGACATGTACAACGCGTTCAATACAGTGTCGACTGCCACAAAGCTAGAGGAAAGGAAAAATGATGTTCACAAGGCACTGATTTGGGTTAGAGGGCATTCTTTTGGTAACGGAATAAAGAGTAGATTGCATACAGTGTGCTACAGTTACTCCAAAAGACAGATTTTAGGAAATATCACGTCTGTGTCTGTCTGCATGTGCCCTGATAACAATGTTTATTGATTCCTTGCTTTAGGTTTCTATCGCTTTACATCATCTGCGTATGTATTGCGACCACGTAGAATTTTAATGCAAGCTTCACATTTTCCTTTAGATCTGTGTCTTGCCACTTAATGCATCATGATGTGACTCGATAGCAGACTGAAATAACCAAAGAATAACTAAATCCATAACAGTTTTTACTTAAATTGGTGCTTTTCTCTCCACTGCTCTAGCAGCTGCTGTTACAGTATGTCTTATTACATTTCCCTTACGACATCTCAACGACATTATAGGGTGACCATTTCATCAAAGTACTAAATTATGTATGTATGTGTTAGCTAATTAATGTCACTTGAGTCCAGTTCCTACAGTTTCAGAGAAAAAAACTACAAAGGAAAAAAAGGATAAGGAAGGACATGTAGAGGGAGATGTTTTGTTGAGCTTTACTGTACTTTGCTCACCATTATCTTCCATCATTAACATGAGCATTCTATAATTCACATAATCATTCACCTTTCAGCAAAGCATTGATGGTGGACAAACAAAGTTAAAAAAGTAGTGGGCGGTGAAAAACTTAAATGAGTGATTTCACACCAGAGGAAGAGCGGAGGGAAGTAAACATGGCTCAAAAAAGTCCGGCCTTGTTTCTATCAAGTTAATGATGTACTGTCTGTATAGCACAAAGTATATATTTTAAAAGTTGTAGCTTAGGGCTTTTTCAGAGCTCAGGAGGATTTCATTCTTTGATCAGAGGTCTGTTTGAACTGATTAACAGGGAGGGTTCATTGGATCAAAGCACTGCAGGGCAGAGTTACAACAGCAGAAGAACAGAGATGGTGAACAGAAGGCTCAGATTGGTCCATGCTTAAGTCTACTATAAAGTCTAGAACACTTCAGACTATAACGCAGATTTTTAATAGTATTTATAGCAAAGTATAGGGATGTTTTATTGAAATAAAGTAGGAATTTAAAGGCTATTTTGGAATATTTTCTTTCTTTCAAAGAGTGAGCTCAATATCAATAAGTACTGAGCTACAGTCAGGGAGGATAGCTTTGTGTAAAGACTGGAGACAGGGGGAACCAGCTAGCCTGCCTCTGTCCAACATAAAAAAACGTAACTCACAGCACCTCTAAAGCTCACTGCCCGTTGTATCTCGTTTGTGTGATCCGTTCTGTGCAAAAACTACAATTTGTGCTTTTAGGGGGATTTATGTACTGAAACAAATTTTCTGGTGAGCAACAGCTGGGTCTACTGGCTTCTCAGAGTCTTGTTATCACAGTGAGGTTGTTTGGTACAACCTGCACAGAGACCTATAGAAATATTGTATTTGGAAACCTGCGCCATAGCAAAGATGGACTGGATGGAGGGATAAGCTGTTGTTTGTGAAGAAATGGGTACAGTACATAAATCCCCCTAAAATCACAAATGTACAAGTCAAACAAACTTGTGTTGTAGGGCTCAGTAAAGACTTTTCAGTTGTCCGTCTCACACAGGTATGACAGAACAGATTCACTGTAACTGTCCACACAGACCACATAGCAGCTCATATTTCACTTGTACTACGTAGCCCAGAGTCTATTGTCTCCCATTTTACATGCGTGACTA